TTAACTTTTTAAAAATAAGTGTCAATTTATTTTTTAAACATTTAGTTAATGAAAAGAAATAAAAACAAAATTCTCACTTTGGTATTTGGAAAAGAAAGAATGTTCTTTCTTGGACTAAAGGGAGGGGGGAAAGGAGAAGATTTGTGAACAATGATTGGTGGTAGACAAGATAATGTCAGTGATTATCCTAAACAAAGGACCTTTCTGAAGTGAACAAATTTAGCACACATGACACACTGGATTGATTGATTGATTGATTGATTTTTGAACAAACTGCCCATTTAACCAGTGGAACTCTGGGCAGCCAACAAAGATAAAAACATAATATAATGATAAAAATCAATTAAAAAGAAGAAAAAAATACAAATTATTCCAATGTCTTAAGACTTAGTCTGTTTCTTTCACATTCAGCAACAGAAGATTGCAAGAATTTTTGTATGTATATAAGTCAGCTGATGGACACATCCCATTTGGTTTACCAGCATAGATCTTACTGTTAAGGCTAGTGGTAGATTCAGCCACTCAACTCCTGATCTCTGAGCTGCCTAATAAACCCGTGGGTTTATTTATTATGGAGCGCTTTGCAAATGGAATTTGCTATCAGGATGGATCCCATTTTATGATGTTCAATTATCCATGTGAGACTAAGGCCAATTTAAGTCACCTTTTGCTCTCTAACTTAGAAACTATTTTTAAACCACGCAAATTGTGGGTATTAGAAAATCTCCTATCCACAACTTCCCCTTTTCTGGGAGAGTGGGGACCAAAAATGAAAAGCCAAGTGAACTTCGTTCTGCTTTTACAAGACAGTGAACAAGAAAATTGCGCTGATAAAATGAACTGACTTTATCAACAAGCAATAAATTGAACGACCTGCAGAGAAACAATTTCATCTACCGATGTTCAGGCAAATTACCATAATGCAGGTTCATGTTAGGAGACCAAGCGACCTACAATTCCAACAAGTTGAGCTGTAGATGCAGATGTAGGAGATAAAGAAGCTGGAATGTGATGAGAGGGTAGACATGTCTCTTTAGAATAGTAGTGATGGATTCTTGCCCAAAACATTTTTTAAAAAATATCTTGGTGTTCAGGCTGCCAGTTCCACCTTTTCTTCTTTAGGCTTTTTGATTGGCTCCTTACTTTGCCTGCTTTTTGCTTTTTTCCTCCCAATATGCAGTCCTCGCCTAAGGAGTTGCATATCCACCCAAAGAAACTGTCAAGGAATATGGTAAATTTCAACCCCCAGAGCTGAGATCATCACCTGTTCTCCAGGAGTCAGCAACACTTGCAGAAGCTCACTTACATGCCCCGGGAATATCTTGCCTGAATTTTAATCATGAACAGGTTTCTTCTGTGCCCCTGCCAAGCTGAAATGGAGACATTCTTTTCCACTATAGGCTATCATCACCCAAAATGTGTATATGAGCATTGTGGAAATTACCCTATAAATATCATATAACAATATCAACATGCCAAAGTTTTCCTAGTTTATTTGTTACTTATTAGATTTTCCTCACTTGGTCAATTCTACTACAATGGGTATAGAGTGCAATTTTAGAAGTCTGTTAACTAAGAAGTATTTTCCAGCAAAAGGGATAAAAAGCTTTTTCCACTTGGTATAATTGATTAGTACTTCATCAGCATGTTCAATTATTCCTACTGCCTCAATTTCTAATGCTTATGCATCTCTTGCTGTAAGGACAGGCGAGATCAAACTTAAGACTGGAAAGACAGAGAAAGGTTGTATTTCAAAAGACATCCTTGTATGAAACTAAAAAGTTTCGTGTGTGTGTGTGTGTGTGTGTGTGTATATATATATATATATATATATGAAGAAAAGCATACATTTTTAAAAATTCAACTTCCTAAATCAAAATTCTGAATCCTGAAATGCTGTTATTACATCATGAGGGGGAAAAGAAACTTGATTTTAAAAAAGACATAGAAGTGAATATTGTATTGTTTCTTGATTATTTTTATCTTCCATGAAATCTATACCAGCCTTCAGGGAGTGGGGAAGGGGATTTATCTAAGAAATTTAGATCCTTTCAAGGATAAAATCTCACATGGTTCTGTGGTGGTGAGGGTACCTATTCATCAACTTGGAGAACAAAGCCATGGACAAATATGGCTACTTTAATGCTGCCTAAATCACCAGAAAGATACATGGAGAAGTCAGCCACAGATAGGACTAAACCCAGATCTCCTGTCTCAGAGATCAGTTTGGCCCTGGAAGAAAATAATTTGTTGCAATAATTCTAAAAAGATATATCAGGAAACAGTACCTCTGAGATGCTCTGTGTCTTGCACTGAAGACTCATTCCCTGTGATCCCCTTAGCAGATGATACATTTTGTAGCTATCATGTAGCAGCTGAGTAACTCTTGATTGGGAATCACGTTTTCATGGAGTTTTATCATTGGTTGGTTCTCTGTCTGTCAGTTTCTTTCCACCCCACACCAATGAATAACAGCAGCAGCTGGCAATCAACCAGCCAAGTCTTATGACATGACAACGGTTTGGGTACCACACCCAGAAACATGAAACTACAGCAAAATGAAAGCTGAAGACATCAGTAAGGGTAAGGCTTACATAATTAAGGCTTCATCTGGAAAGGTTGGGCCTCTGTCAGTCCTTTTCTGTATATCACAAAGACACTTTGGATGATATTCTCAAATGTTCGTTTATTTTTCCAACTTCTAAGAGTTGCCAAGCTGCCATTCACCATTGCAAAGTCGAAACTTCTGTAACAGGTCCCTCAATTATCTTTACTTGATAGTAAGAAAAAAACACTCTGAAAAATGCAAGAGGTGGACAAATTTTCAGGGTCATAGGGCATCTCTTTGTTTCTAAGTGGCATGTCAGAGGCAAAAAGAATAGGAGGTGAGCACAAAAACTGAATTAAGTATCTTTTCATTTACTGTTGACTTAAATATGGTTAATATGATTACTCCCTGTGGGAGTTATTTCTCATACTAATCAGAGGTACAGCAGTTACCAAAACAAGGAACAGAAACAAACTGCCATGCCTTCACAAGAGATTAGCCACCTCCCTTCTGCATCAAAACAGATTAAGGAAATAAAGAAGCGTTTCTCTGCCCTAAATTGTCTCATTAAGTATCAATGAGTCACCGAAGTGTTTAATCTGAAACTAGGGCACTTCCTGGAATTCTTGTGTTTATCCTTAACATTCCTCCATAATAAATACTCAAAACCAGGTCTCTTTGTTTCTTGTTCCTTGGGTTAACTGTTTATAGTTTAGATTATGAGGAATAAAGTGTGTGGCACTCTCCAGCTGTGCATTCATAAGTTCCCCATTTTGTTACAATTTGGTAGCCAGCTTTTTGAGGTTTCCTGGAGTTGTACCTAATGTTTTTTGGGGGCACATAGCTCAAGGGCCTCAGATTGTGCTCTTCTACTTCAGTGGTTTAAATGAAAACTGTGTTCAAAATAACAGCAACAAAGCAGCTTTCTGTGAAATGTGTAAAATATGTTTCCCTATATCAAATATACAGGATATATTGAGCACTGCAAGATTATTATAACGAAGAACAGCAGCTGCCAACCAGCAGAGAACATAGCAGCCTGGCAGTCCCGGATGAAATGTCTGCATAGGACAGGGACCATCTGCTGCAGGGGAGGGTGAGTGCAGACCCTGCCATCAATCAGAGATTGGGGCTGCTGCTAGACAAGATCAAAGGCCTGGGGACCATCAGCTTGGAAGGGCTTAAGGCAGTTCAGGTCAGAAAACAGCAGTTTTGAATTGGAGCTGGAAAACACGGGCATGGGATGCATTTGCAGTGGGCTGGGAGTGGGAGGAAGATGATGACACCCATTCTTGCACACAAGAAACAGTGAATCACCCAGCCTGGTGATGGGCCAAGCAGACAGTGTAGATGAAATACCCTCCATTTCATCACACTATAGTGGAAGAATAACTAGGAAGTAGTTAGATGATGAGATGATGAGAGAGAGAGAGAGAGAGGTAGACACATTTTTTTCATCAGGAGCACATCAAGCCAAAACCCAATGGGAGTCTTACTGAATAACTTTTTCAGGCTTTGATAAGAGCGTGAAGCAGGTTAACCTTCCTCTCACTGTGTACTGCAGTACAGTATTCCTTCCCCCACTGCATCTGTGGTGGTTCTAGGTTAGCTTCCTAAGGATCCTTTTGCAATATAAGAAGTTTATTTATTTATTATTTATTTATTACATCTATTTCTATAGGCACCCATCTCACCACAGGTGATTCTGGGCTGTGTACAACAAAGCTAAAAGTTGCTAAATAGCTCTCCTTATACAGTTTACTAAGTGCTCCTCCCCATTGTAAAAGGCTGGGTTGTCTGCAAAAGCTTTCCATTCACTGGAGAACATGAGCTGTTGTTCTTAAATGATGAACCAGGTGGCAGCGGAGAGGACTGATTCCCATAGCAGTATGGAATAGCTTCTTAAAATACTGTAACAAAGACATCTCTAAACCAAAAGATCACTCTGCTTACTCTCAGCCAGCCAATTTAATTCACAGTTCAACCTTGCTGATCAAAAGTATATTGTTCTACAGAAATAAAGACCACACAACCAAGTCCATGTAATCCATGATATATATTGTACCTTCTCCCAAAGATCACCTAGTTCTCCCAAAGTTTTCTGGTTCCAGGCAGGATATTATCTAAGTCTACTCCCTAATCTGACCATACATTCTGCTTGTACAAACTGGAATGGGGACAAAGTATATTAGAAACATAGATATAGAACAATATTTCCGATTCATGATTTTCTTTCAAAATGAAACAGGATGTTCTGAGGTCCTCCTTTTTGACTCAAACCGACAGGCTTGTTTGGCTCAGAAGAAGTGCTGAGGAACCAACCTGGGAATTCTGCAGATTCAAAAGAGCAGGTATCAGCGTTGCCCTCACTCTTACTATAAAAAGTGAAAGCTTTGTTTTCTGGATGATGCTGAAGTTCCATAATGCCTTTCTCCTAAGAAAAGAGGGAGAGACCATTAAAAAGAAAAGTTATGTAGTAACACTAGGACATCATGATTATAAGTTTCATAAATGATCATTAGCATCCCCTTAGAAGATTTCTACTGCCTCAAGATGGGATTCATGTTTCCTTTTTTACAGAAAATACTATTTTATTATAAAGTAACACAAACTAGCCATTAAAGTCTATTTTACCCAATAGGAAGCTGTTTAAGTGTCCAGAAAATTATTCTATCCAATCATATCAAATAAGTAGCCATAAAACAAGTAAAACTAGGAGGGAAAGGCAAGCGCAGCTGCCTTAATACTATTTTGACTTTTCGTACCAAAGAGACCGACATTGCAGTTACATTCCCTTGCAAAACCAATCATGTATAACCTTTCATCAATGTTGTCAAGGGAAACCATGTAACAGGAAATATGGAAAATATTATAAACTGGTAAACATGTCATTGAGATTCTCTATAAAAAGTGAGCCAATGAAAGGGGATCATTCCCAAGTAAATTATGGCTCCATTTAAGTTTTGTTATTTCACTCCATCAGGTAGAGCTTATGGAAGTCTTCCTACTATTACAATGCTAGTACTTAATATATCACTGAAAATAAAAGGACAAACAAAAAGGACGATTTTCCTGGAGAGAGCAAAATATTTTTGTAATGCAAGTCAAACACTCACTTTTAACTCTATCTGATGTTGACCATCCCCAGCCTTCACACAAGACAAGGAGTACTTCTGATGTCCAAGACCCATAAATATAGGTATTCGTTTTGCATCTAGACGGTAATTAGGGAGCACCTCAATTAACTGCTCTGGGGAAGAATAAAAACAAGAAACAAGGTCAAGGGTTAAGAAAGAATGAAAAGTTTTTTTGGTGGATTGAGACATTTTGGATGAGAAACCACAGGGGTTTGGTTAAGAATATGATTTACAGAAGCAAGAAGGCATCTAGGAAAAAATATAAGTCCTCATATAAGAGGAATGGCTTGCAATGGAAGGGGCTGAAGCTTGTCAGAAGGTAACTTAGAGGTCCTCAACCTATTTTGGCCAGTGCTGTCATACTGAAAACTGGAAGAAATTGTGCTGAGCATGAATGTGTCAACTGACAACCCAAATATAGTTCATGTATTCACTTAGAAAACATGATGTTACAGAATTCAAACTGGATAGCTTGCTTTCTACCACCTACCTAGCTTCCTAGCTTGTTATCTATCACAGTAGTTTTGCTTGGTCTTTTTCTGGGCAGGTGGACACCTTTACAAACAAAACACTGGGCTAAAGCCACCTACTGTGCTTTATTCTAATATATGAGACCTATATGGAAACCAGAGGACCCTTTGTAGTTCATTTTGCATCTAATACTTTCCTTTTAATGTTTTTGAATTAAATCTTTCTCCCCCTAAAATATCAGATAGGGCAAGGAGTCAAGTGACATGTCTACGGGCACATTGGTGCTCAGGGGAAAAGTGTTGAGGATCCAGGTTTAGTGAATGGAATATGCAGCAAGTCATCTTTAATAATTTTCTATCTTCTTGGAATTTATTTATTTTTAGGATGGTTTTTATGTTGTATTTTAATGAATTTTTATCCTGTTGTAAACCACCCAGAGTCATTTCATGAGATGGATGGTGACAAATTGGATGGATGGATGGATGGATGGATGGATGGATGGATGAACAAACTAATAGTGCAATAGTGTTAAATGTGGTCACCAACCCAGACTACAGGAGTGAGTCCTGATACATCAATCATCAGCTTTTCACCACTTAAGGGATCCCGTCAATAATTTTGGCCAAGAAGGGGGCTGCGATTTTCAAGTACAAGATAAGAAGTTCAGTTTGTACCTGGTGAATTAGAAGTTTTCAAGTCTGCCACTAACACGTTTTTCACCAAAAATAAGTATTTCTCATGAATATCCCAAATTTTATACAGTCGGGCTTCAGTTTCTGCAACAGATGGAAGAAATATGTATATGTATCAAGCACACATTATACATACAAGCAAAGGGAATATTCTAAAGAAGGAATAATCAGAGAAGGTTAGAAGGATGCATATCTCACTGAAAAGTGAATTTCAAATGATTTGCATCTCTTTCAAATGATTTGCACAGACCTACTAAACAACAGTGTCTCTCAAAAGCAGTTTGGTCTTGGCAGATATTATACCAAGAGGTCAGGGGAGAATCCTTGGATACAGCTGTACGGAAGCAGCAGAGAAGACAGAAAGGGACCCAGAGAACAGACAGTGTGGAGAGTTACAAGTAGTTCCAGGTAGTTCTAACTATAGAGTAGGAATAGGCCCTAAAATATGGATAGCAAACAGTCATAGGACTGCATGTTCATAATTAATTGCAAAGATGGGCAAGATGAAAGCAACTATAACCTAGAGTCACCATCAATTTAATCTATTCTCCCTTTCTTTCCATCTTTCTTCTTCCCCTTTGTACTCTTTCCCTTCTCTTTCTCTTTCCCTCCTTCCTCTTTCATGTTCACCATGCTGTGATTCAATCAATCAAATCAGTATTATGGTCATTAACCAGCATGCTGCTGTGATTTAATTTCAGAATAAAACTATTGTTTTTGTTTTTAGAAAGGTCTTTAAAAATGTGTGCTATGACTTTTAAGAACGATCCTGTAAGCATCAATGGAAGCTTTTTTTTAAAAAACCTAATTGGGGTACAGGGATTTTTTTAATGGCGAAGTGTGTGTGACAGAGAATGAGAGAGAGAGATTTTAGAACCCAAATTTGGGATGTCAGTGGAAGGTATAGAAGATATTCTAAAGCACAGAAAAGGGACAATTTCATGTCTACAGCTAACTTCCTGCAAGATCAGACCAGAGTGCGCAAGTGCAATAACCCATGGACCATCTATTTGATATACCTACACAGTCAGCTAATGAAGAAGATGAGTATTTACTGGACATCTCTATTCACGTATACGCAACATTTTGCATTTGTTCTGATATGGGATACCTTCCTCCAGAGTGTAGCACTAAGAAAGGTCTTATTTTTAAAAAACTGGACATCATATTTGCATAGGCTTGAGAAAATGAAGTTCATTTGGCCAAATAATTAAAGATCTGTGCAAGGCTGGGCAATGTTTCCAAAGCAGCAAATGAAGAGAACTATATTTTCCTCACTTGTTTCATGATGACGACATAAATCCTCCATTTCCTCATCCCAACTCTTCTTCTGAGGCTTATTTGTCATGTCTCCAACCCTTTCTAATTTTTCAAGTTTCTCCAGGTTCTTCAGAAGAAGGAAATAGTGTAGGTTACAATTCGTGGCAAACAAAAGATTGAAAATATCAAACATGTTCTGAACAAAGCTGGTTGATTGAGTTTCTCAAATACAGCACAACAACTAAGCAAATAAAGTAGCCATGGATGGGCTCATACTGGCAAAACAACCACCACCACCACCACCACCACCACAACAACAACAAAGAAAGAGTTCTGTATGGCTGAACTTTTAAAAATGAGACCCCATCCTCACCCCCTGAAGAAAGGGGAATATGAAAGGTCAGGCAACAGAGAAGGGGAAGGGGAACACATAGACTAGAAGCATTCAACTCTGAACTTGTGTCTTTCTACCATCACAGAATAACGGTCTAGAAGGGAACCTTTGTAGCTGTTTTTTGGTTCAGTGTGTGAATTCTTGGCTATCTGTTTAGCCTATATATTCATATATAAATTCCCCTCTCACCCCTATGGGTGGTATGTGTCTTCCTCAATCTCGGGTCCTCTACCAGAGGCCTGGGAGTTTGAGGGTTCTGAGCAGTATCTGAGCCGTTCCCAGCACTGCCCTCTTCTGCACAGAGAGCTCTGATGTTGTTCCTGGGATCTGCTGGATCCACTCTCCCAGCCTAGGAGTCACAGCCCCGAATGCACTTACCATCACTGAAACCACTTTGGCCTTTACTTTCCACATCCTCTCTAGTTTCTCCTTCAGGCCCTG